GGGGGGGGGGGGGGGGGGGGGGGGGGGGGGGGGGGGAGGAAAAGCCATGAAAAGGTCACCACCAGGTGGGTGAAACCATTAAATGGTTACTGGCTGGATGAAACCATTACATAGTTACTGGGGGAGGGGGGTGAAGTCATTAAACGATTACCGGGTGGGTGAAACCATTAAATGGTTACGGGGGGGAGCAACTTACTGTTTCATGGTGATGATCTTGGAGTCAATGGTCTCCTGCTTTTCCCTCATGACCTGCACGTCACTCAGCAGCTTGGACACATCCTCCTGGCTCATCTTAAGGTCCTCGTGCTTAATATTAGACACCTGGGGGGAAAGGCCAGGAAGATGTTTGAAACCATGACAAGCCTGTCCTGGATCCGGCGCATGATACGGAAAAACTGCACGCAGCGTTTCGTTACGGGGCCAGTGGGTCGACCAGCTGGGAGCTGCCACGGCGCTCTCTCATTCCCGTATGGCCCAAGTGTCTAGATGGCAAAACCGTCCAATGAAAGCTGACGCAACATGCACTTCAGTGGCGGCGCCGTCCGGCGTCATGTCAGCGGGACATGCAAGCCGGCGCTGTCTTTAACCACGTCTGATGGAGAACCTGCACAGCCCAGAGTGACCCGCACGGCATCCACGTCCATCCCTCCCCTTCCCCCGGTGAGGATATCGAGCGTGGGAGTTTTGGTCAGCGATAGCAGCACACGTGACAGGTTTCAGCATGGTTCACGTTGACCCCTCCCCTAAGAGTTCGGCGCAATGGAGCGGGACGCCAAGCGTGGCGACGCTCAAACGCCTGCAGATGTGTCACAGAGTATCGCTGATGTATGTGGTATTAAAACCATGAGAGGTAGGTTCAGCCAATCAATGCCTCCAACGCAAAATTAATTCAAGGACGACTCCAAATGAAGAAAATGAGGGAAAACGCAGCAGAAACTACATGAGTTGACGCGGCCCAACCCACATTCAAGCCCACTTTTCTCAGCAGCCTGTTGACATAGCCTGCATATCGGCCATCCATGTGACCAGTGCCCACAGTTCAGGGCCTACATGGCCTGGGGATGCACTTTCTCGTCTCCGCCACTCTTAAACAGCGGGAGGCTTGACGGATTGGCACTCACGTTGGTAACCTTCCTCTTGATGTTCTCCAGCAGGTGCTCCTGGCCCCGGATGAAGTAAGGATGCTGGAATTCCGTGTCGTCCTTCTCTGGCTTTACCAGACCCCCCTGCTCGATGTGAACCACTTTGCGGAAGCCGTCTGTTGGAGGGGGGGGGGTAGGGGGGGGCAGCGAAAGCAGTTTTAAACCTGCTCACTGGCTCGGGCCGTATCAATGCTTCCATTTATGATAAATCATCCGGTTTAATCCGCCCGCGTTTAGACTTTAAATGGAATGCCTCAACAATGGAACAAATCAGGAAGAATGAGAGAGACAGAATTTGACAAGGACTCACACATATTAAGCTGCCGCACAAAGCTCGCCATGTTGTTATGCTTGAAGTACTTAGGAAGGACTTCCTTGGAGAATCTTCCTTGATCAAACACATGGAAGCTGTTACCATTCTGCAAAGAGGAAAACGTAAGATTTAGATAAATACAACCACAACAGAGCACGATAAAACTCTCCGACTTCGAAAGACTCCATGATTGTCCTCATGTTACATGGAATACATGATTGTATTAGGACAAAAATATAAGGGACATAAATGAAGTTTTTAATATCCCAAACAGAAAGGCTTACTGAGTAGACCCACAGCTATACTACAATTATCTCCTACAAACTTTGTTAAAATAGCAGACGTGGCCTGATGCAGCATATTTCTGAGTTTTACATGCAAACAATCCTGAAATACCGATTTGCCATTACAAAACCTTCAGCTTCAGTGTGAATTCGTTTTCGCAGGAAATACCACAGTTCAAGTCCCATGGAGTCTGATGCGTCGAATAGCTGTTTTACTGGACGGCCACTATGTTTGTGCGGAAAAGCACTGTTCACCATAACTGATGAACTGAAGCTAAGAAGTTTATCCTTCCTTTACAACAGTATACATCACTGACAGTAATCGATGCAATATTCTCAGCTGCCAGTGATCCCACTATAATTAGGTGTTTTAATTAACACCAATCCATCTTTCTGGAAGTCAGCACATTAAGGCTAAAACAGCTTTCGTCGTCATAACAAAGAGGCCAAGTCACAAGAGCAGGAGCAGAGCTGTCATATCAACACCAAATGTTCCAAAAGCCTACAAATTCACTTCGCCAAAATGGGTTAACGTGCAGGGAAGCTAAATGTTACAGTACAATGTTAACCTGCTGTTTAGCGAGTTACACTGTGGAGTGTGACCTGCAGGATGGAATACAAAATGTCCACAAATATGGCCCTCCATTCCAAATACATGCCTTGTTTTCAGTTCTCTCAGGTAGTTAGTTTAATAATGGCTGATTCTGATTGGCCAGAGACTTCACACCCAGCTCACAGGTAAAGGAAGGCTTGAGAACCTTGAGTGCTTGGACTTTGAGGATCGTTATTTGAACAGCCCTAATATATATGAATAAAACTGTAAACCTGGGTGAGGGTACTGCAGAGGTAAAAGTGATGCCTCATCCCTCCGGCGTTAGGGATTCAAATCCCACCTATATAAAGATGTATAAATTGCATGTCTTCTCCATCTCATGTTTGTTTCCTCCGAAAGACAGTAAGGCAAACTGGGGTTGTGAATCTCCATAATGTGCTTTGTGAGGGACTGATACCGCAGCCTGAGTTCTCTCACATGAGCCTATGCAAGACATGTGACTAGAACGTAGCTGGGAACACTTCAGAGAGTGGCTCAGTGGATAGCAGTCTAGCCATATGCCTCCAGGGTAGGGGGTTCGAATCCTGTTTCTGTGTGGAAGTCAAAAGTTTTCCCCTTTCCAATGACCTGAAATTAGGCTGACTGATGAATCTCTGCCCTATGCTGGCTGGGATTGGCTCCTTTTCCCAGATAAGCAGCGGGAAGGTGGATTCAAGATGTTTTACAAAAGACTAACCCTAGAGTTAACCACTAAAACCAAAACAAATTCTTAAAGCAAGAAAGCTTGAGACTCAAAAACATGTTGTGTTGCCATAAGGTTTTGCCTCACATCTCTGGAACTCGGGTTCGAGCCTCTGCCTGGGTTACATGTGTGTGGAGTTTGCATGTTCTCCCCATGTCCCCATGTAATCTCTGCTTATATTTTTCTATGTTTTATATTCTACGCACCATGGGGAGGGCTGGGTGAAATGGCATTTCGATGCACGGTATACCATGTATATTGCTGTATTGACAATAAATCCCTCTTGAATCTTGAATCTTGAATGTCGTCGTGGGGTTTCCTCCAGGTACTCCGGCTTCCCCCCACAGTCCAAAGACATGCTGAGACTAAATTGGAGTTACTAAATTGCCCATAGGTGAGCATGTGTGAGTGTGCCCTGCGATGGGCGGGCTGGCGGGCTGCCCCCCCCCCCCCATCCTGGGTTGTTCCCTGCCTCGTGGCTCCAGCCCCCCCGCAACCCAGAAGGATAAGTGGGTTGGAAAATGGATGGATGGTAGCACTGACTTCATTACTTCCCACTATGGATGCTCTGCACCTTACGGTTGCCACTGCTAGCAGACAATGTGTAACTGTGCAGGCTGCGGGTCAGAGGAGGACTGGTCTGTATAAACAAGCAGAAGCACAAGGAAGGGTCAAGGGTGATGTAAAAAGTCACTGTCACATCAGCCAGGGAACCAGAATAGAGTTTTCGGAGACCCCTTTCTAAAAATGACCTCTTCAAGCCAGTGGTTAGGGGCGCTGCTTCCGCGGCATATCACGTGCATTCTGTTAGCCTGTATCGTATCCCCCAATGTTAGAGACAGCTGTTTAACTAAAAAGGAAACAGCTAGTTTAAGGTGTCATAACTTTAGGCGAAATTATGGTAATTCTAGCTGACGTTAAACTAGACCGTGACGCACTTGGTTTGACCAGGTTAATAAGATACACGTATGACTTCTTTTGACGACTCTCACACTGCTTGGAGATAATAAATTAAGCCATACTGGCATTTTTATCCGAACATGTAAAAGTGTCCAGTCACCATGTTCCCCATGAAAAACTAGCGATGTCACACCTCCTTTTGGCCTTGACGCAAACAAGTGCTTCCTTAAACTGCCACCAACTTAAAATACTATTTACTACGTTTTAAACGGGTAACTGGGGGGATAAATAAACATAATTATGGCACACGAAGAGCTTGCAGTAGTCAGTGTCTGGGTCAGCGGCACATATATTTCCGTGTCGCCGTTCGGGCTGTTTGATCATTTTCTCCAAATTGGTGATTTTTAAATAAAAGTAGCCGGACTGTTTAGGCAGGGGGGTTGGGTCAGGACGTGGGTCTCCATCTCGCTTACCGGACTCCAGCAGATGAGCGGGTCGGTGTCCGGATCCTCCACCAAAGTCCAAAGTTTGGTGAGAAAGGCAGGGACATTGCTGCCACTGAGCAGAACCGTACCGGCACCGCCTGCGAGGTACTCCATGCCCGCACGACGCAGATAATGTCAGGGCGCTTCAAAAGCTGCGCGCTGCTATAAGAACGACAAGCAAAGCCGGAGTAGAAAGGAGCAAAATTCAGCAAAACATCCGCACGCCCGGTACTTCAGCCTAAAGCGATCAGCCAGCTAGCATAGGCTATAAAGCGTACGATGCTGCGACCCTGCGCCGTAAAGTTGCCCACTTTCCACTTTTACACAAATTCCTCGGGTCAATCGATCCAGCGACTTTCATCTGGCAAACGGCGAACAGTGGAAAATTCCATCGAAACGACAGTCTTACAAACTGCGTAGAAACGACACAGCCAGCAGCTTCATGGCGGTCGCCATTTTGTGACATCACTACTGGAAAACGAAATGTATTTCATTAATAGTCACAAAAATACAATATAAATAAGACATAAGCAGAGAGACACAATCAATTTATTTTATGTCAATGATATTCTAATTAAAATACATTTTAAAACAATAACAGCAGTTTATTTCTCTTCTGAACTTTGACCCTTACCCAGGCTCCAAAAGCAAAAAATAGTTTTCGTTTAAACAATACGATATTGAAGTATTACCAAAAAAATGGTACAACGTTATCGAGTGTTGTATTGTCCGCTGGTAATTTGTAGCTAAAATAAATACGTAGTGCGTTCATATGCTAAACTTTGACCTTTGCCATTTGACCCGCTGCGGCGCCCACGTGGTTAGCGGTCCCTACAGCATGCCTGCATCGCGGTCTAGAGTCACAGAAGGTACTGTGATGGACACAAAAGAGAAAAGTGGCAAAAAAAGAGTTGCCGAAGAGGACGATGATCAGGTACGACTTTATGTTAAGTATGCTTATGATTTTATATCGATACTGGTTGCCTATGTAATTATTTTTTCAGTTATGGACAGTTAAGCAGTTAGCTACCCAGCTAACTGGTGCGCACACCACTGCTTATATATGCTTATTTACTGCTACAGGCATTTAAAACAAAGCATTTAATGTAATCTAATGTAATGTATATGTGTAGGCTTACATCTGGTATACAGAAGCAAAGGACTAAATCGTAGCGTAAACCGGATTTATAAAGCTTGATGTCTGCTGTCTCTTTTAAGAATACAGTATTTGTGTTTTCCAGCTGTCTCTCTTCAAAATCGAAAAAGATGGATTCCCTAAAAAGTTGGAGAAAGAAGATAATGATGACGACTTGTCTGACAGTGAAGAGAGTGTGTTTTCAGGGTTGGAGGACTCTGGAAGTGACAGCGATGATGATGATGATGATGATGATGATGATGATGATGATGATGATGGTGGTGTTGGTGGTGATGATGACGACGACGACGACGATGATGATGATGATGATGATGGTACAGTAGAGGAGACAAAGGACGCTGATGAGGAATCCCTTGGTAAAGATAACGAAGAAGCCACTATCTTAAAAACATCAACAGAACAGCCCTTCAGTGAAAAGAGAGAAGCCAAACGACAGGTAAATTCAGGAAAATTCTGTCTACATAAGTTTGTAATAATGGCACTTTTGTGTTGCTTTTTTGGAACGTGTTATTCACATTTATAGTAGTACCTTTAGGTACATTTTTTTTCTGTTAACCAGGAAGCAGGTTTTGAACATACAGTGTAGTACAGGAGTGTCAGACTCCAGTCCTGGGGGGCCAGAGCCCCACACATTTTTGGGTTTCCCCTCATTTAACACACCTGATTCACCTCCTTGTGCTAATTACCACACAGCTTTTGGGCTGAATCATTTGTAGTGGAACATGGAAAGAACTAAGCTGCACAGGGCTCCGGCCCCCTAGGACTGAAGTTCGACACCCCTGGTCTAACACCATGTTTGTGTATTAGACCTCATATATGTTTTTTTTTTCTTTTTAATTTAAGTATAGTTTATGCGATAATCCATTATATTCAAAATCTGCCATTTCTGATGTATTTGGATTTCATTGTAATGAGTAAATGGGCATACTGCTTAATTTTATTAATGAAAGGTAAACATGTTAACAAATATTGCAACATAGATATGTCTAGTAGCCGCCTTAAGGTATGACAGTTTTGTGCATTACATTTATTTATTGAAAGTACATCTAAAGTATGAATTACGTAATATATGTATGTTAGTATTGTAAAAGATCTGGTGTTCCTTAAATGCAGCAGCTTTTAAGCACATAACTGACAGACTTAAAGCCTTTCCTCCTGGACTTTAACATGCCCTGGTGCTGTGTTGGCACTGTGCCTCATGCCCACAGGGATAGGGGTCTGAATTCTTCCCCCACTCTCTTTCCTCTGGGTAGTCTGGTTTTCTTCCGCAGTACACATTTGCAGTTAGGTTAATTGGCATTTCTTAATTTCCCAAAATGCATGATTGTGTGTGTTTTCTTATATATGGATGGAGCAGGATCCCATCTAGGCTTGAGCCCTGTGCTGCCTGGGATAGGGTCCAGGCCCCCCTGCAGCCTTGGCCAGGATAACTGTTTGGAGGGTGGTATAATATGGTATGGTATAGTATAACATGGCATGGTATAATATGGGATGGTATAGTATAGTATGGGATGGGATGGTATAATCTGGAATTGTATGGTATGGGATAGT